CCAGTTCTGGATACTTTTTAACATGGACCTGATCTTATCTCTGTCTGTTCAGACTCTAAAGAAGTGATCAACTCTGGAGAAGTGGGACATTTCACTGGTTTTACTGCCTATATCTTTCAGACCTCCTGTTTCAGACATAGTTAACCCCAACAGATGTTTTATTTGCTCCAGATCTGCATTTTATTAAAGAGAAAACCAGAGTAACTGACTGTAGTAGAGTCTGTCCTGAAAGCTGGAGCAGATCAGGTCTGCTGTGGGGCGCATGTAAGCCAGCGGCACAATGATGTGTTGTTTTTAAATTTATGTATGTTAGTGATGTAATAAAACAGTAATATTATAACTGCCATGTCTGACAGAGGAGTGCAACACACTGAAATGTAGTTTACATGTGACCTGGTGGTTGGTAATCAGATTACCTACAATCCAACCAGATAATGCAACAGGAACTGCCTTTGAAATATTCATTGTACTGCAGTGGAGAACTGTGACTGTCATTAATTACATCAAATAATGTTAGACCCCATTTCTTCTGCTTTGTGTTCTGATGCAGTCTACAAAGAGCCCATTTAGTTCCTGTTACCCACTGTATTGAAATTGGCTGCCGTTTATCTAAAGGGTTCACATAAGTTCATTCCCAGGAAATAGGACTGAGTGCCCAAAAGACCAAATTTTGTTAAGATACAAAAAATACAGCATTAAATTTGACTGAAATAAAAACTTTTCTTCAGTTTTTCACAGTTAAACATGAATAGAAATAACACTGCCTGTCCTGCTGTCATAAACATGGCCAGAAGATGTCACTGTTTTGTCATAAATCATGTTTGCAGAATTTCTTTAGATTCTTTTTCAGTATAATTTATTAGATATTTGTAAAAAGTTTTCCAGTGTTTATTAAGCATAGAATTTTTTTTTAGAAATGTGAATAATGTGTAACTGTAATAACTAGTGTTTTGGGACTATAGAAACAGATGAAACCAGCAGAGCTTTTCACCTTCATCACATGTCATTGTTTATATATATATATATATATATATATATATATATATATATACACCATTTTTTACAAAATATTCTGAACAAAAGGCACCACTTGAACGTTGTTAAACCATGTTTGTTTCTGGATGATCAAAAACAGGAAACCTAATGACACATACACTGCTGGAAATAAAACGAAGCTCTAACACTTGTCAGTGATTTATTCTCTTTCTTTTGATATTATTATTATTATTATTATTATTATTATTATTTTTATTTTTTTTAAAGCTCCTATCAGACGTCCCTCTCTTTTTCATATCACTGGGCTTTTATATGGATTGAAGATTTCCTGTCAAAAAAAGCTTGTGCAAATGCAGAAAATAAAGGAACATGCGGTCTCTAAAAATTCATGCTTGATATCTATAATGATATGGACTAGGTAATGAGTTGGGAACAGAAGGATGCACATTGTATGATGAAAATGTATCTACCTACAAATGGCTGAATTTAAAGAAGCCTGAAAGTCAGTGTGGAAAAAAGTATGCATAAAGCTATTCCAGTTTCATGTAAATCCTACTGCTAAGATGAGTGATTGAAAATGAAAAATAGCTATTTTTATAGAGCAAAAAAAATTAAGATTTCTAAAGGGAACATTTATTTTATTTAATTACTTTTTATTTTATTAGTATTTTCCTCAAATGTGTCAAATATATATTTTTTCATCTAAATGTCCACTGAGCTGTGAGCCAGGGGGCGGTAATGCTCCTTAACATTGGTTGCCAACCAAGAAGAAGAAGAAGAAGCTGTAAGCCAGGAGAGAGGGGGTGAGTGAGTCAAATGTGCTGTTTGCAAGTTAGCTGAGCGATGCTACTGTGAACTGAGGAGCTATTGTCTTGATGTGAGCTTCTACTCAGGTTTTTTTTTTTTCGAGTTCAGAGCAGAAATGTTTTTGTTAAGAAACTGGCTGTTGTTTTTTTCCACACAATTTTAATTATAAGCTAGATATATTTCTACTAAATAAATTAGTTTGCTAACAGCAACAGGAATGAGTCAGTTGGGCTTGTGAATCATGATTCACGAGTCAGTAAAGTGATTCTCGAGTATTGAACAACTCGTTCATGATTCGCACATCACTAGCAGCAACGGTACTCAGTAGTTTGCCTGACAATGCTTACCATGGCTTACCAATGCTTACCTTCCTTATCCCCACGGTCTGCCATGCCATGTAAATATAAAAATAATTCTTGCTGTAAATAAGAGTTAGTGGAATACGCGTAAGGGGTGAGTTTTGATAGATAAATGAGAAAAAGGGAAGTTAGTATATATAAATAATATCACTCGGTCTTCCTACTTACATCTCTGTAATATTAACCGTCTTCGTCCCTCACTCACACCACACAGTACCGCCATACTTGTCAATGCTCTTGTCACATCTTGTCTGGATTACTGTAATTCTTTTCTCTATGGTCTGAACAACCAGAGGAACAGAATCCAGAGGATCCAGAAAGTGATTTGAACAATGGAGGCTCTAGAAAGTTGTCTGCAGCCTGTAGACATTTCAGAGGAGATTCTCTGTTTCAGTGATAACACATATTGTGTGGCTCCAGCAGAAAGAAACAATCCTGTTAGTTTTTTCAGAACTCCTCATTTGGAAGCCATGACATTTCCTGTGCAGTTTCCTACTGGATGGAAAGAGATGTCTCAAACTCAAACAGAGTGCATACTTCAAGTCAAGGCTTTTACATCATTAAACACTGGGCCAGTTTACTTTCGTATTATGATAATAATTATGACTGGCTATTATTTTAGAATAAATAAAGGAATAATAGGAATAGTAGCGCATAGCTGCTGGTTTTCTTCATTTGCATAGCAACGGCGGTTGAGGATTATGGGTAGTGTGCAGTTATGGGATTAGTGCGCCGTTAGCATAAATTGGTCTGATTGGTTGGAGCCGAGCGCATCCAAAACTGAGGGAGTGGTGAATGAATCTATAAATGTGTTTTATGTGTGAAATGAAAATAATAAACCTAACAAAGCATTGTGTACGTCAAATCTGCACACTTTCTGATCCTGAATGACCTCAGAAAATGTGTGATGGCAAAAACAAGAAGCAATTTTATTGTTGAATTATCAGTGACACTTTGATGTGTTTTTGTTGAGAAATGTCAACGATGTCATTAAAAGAAAACCTTAAATTAGGGAGAAAAACACGTCCAGGGAGAGGGTGCTCGGTTCTCCAATTAGATTGTACTTCATGGCGTCATGTTTTGCTGTGACTGGGTTATTATTGGATTAAATGGATAGCTGGAGCCTCTGCTCGAAATGTCTCTTACCGCCGCGATCTTTGAAGCATCAAAGATTCTGAGCAGACTGCAGAAGAAGCAGTCATATCAAATCCATTTTACTGAGTTCATTTACTGGGGCAGCAGCTTTTTCAATCAATGGCTCTACATTCCCTACTCAAACTAAATCAAAGGCACTCAGAGACCTTTTGGTGGAGTGTCAGTTTTAGCCGTTGGAGATTTTTACCAGCTGCCACCAGTGCAACAGTCTAAACCTCTCTGTGTTTATGATCCAGAACAGATTGACTCTAACCGAGATCATGCGTCAGAAAGATGATGTGGCCTTTGCAGAGATGTTGAACAGGATCAGAGTCAAGGAAAAGACAGATTTCTGTGTGACAGAGATTTATTGTCACAGGCTGTGACTGTACCAGAAGAATGTCCAATCAAGGTCTTACACATTTATGCCACCAATTGAATCCCATAACACAGAGACCCTCAAGAAGCTTCAAACATTATAATCATCAATGCAGATGATTTCTAGAAGGATAAACGTACAGGCTGAATTGAACATAGACAAACCATTTACAGGTGGGCGAAGTGACACCCGACACCCTGAATGTTGCTGAAGGAGCTCGACTGATGCTGACCAGAAACCTGGACACACTAAACGGTTTGGTCAACGGTGCTTTTGATAAAGGTGGTGAGATGTGAAAATGATGGACACGTAATTAAACTGGGGTTCAGAATGGGCAACCAACAGTCTGTAAGAAACAACCACAGTGCTAATGCAACATCTGATTTGCACAGCAGAGAAGACTCTGAAGTTTAAAGGGGCAGTACGCAGACAGTTTCCTGTAAAGCTAGCATTTGCCTGCACAATTCACAAAACCAATTGTGCAGACAACACAGAAAGCTGTAGCTTCAATGAAGAACATTTTTGAACCAGCTATGGCTTATGTTGCTCTCAGCAGGGTGACGTCTCTCAGTGGACTGTATTTACAGGACTTGAATGACAATTACACCAATTTATGAGATTTATGCCAATCCAGAGGTAACTGCAGCGCTCCAAACCATGAGACAAGCCAGCATTGAGGAAATGATGCCTCTTCTTCAGGTCAGAGAAACAGCCAGCAGACCTGACACTCTTCCATCACAATACAGAGGGTTTGCCATCTCACATAAGTGACATCAACAGTCATCATGAAGTGTGTTCAGCAGATGTTTTGTGTCTCACAGAGTCTCACCTCCAAGGCTCCTTTGTTGCAGACAGTCTTCATTTGGACGGCTACACCATGTTCAGATGCAACAGACATGTGTCCTACACAAACTTTCCTCACATGGCCAGCAGAAGTGGTGGTGGAGTTGCTGTGTGAGGAATCATTGTCAGGTTCAGGTTGAGTTCTTAGTTCCCTGCGCTCATTGCGGTTGTGTACAGACTTCCAGTTTGACACCATTCATGCAAAACCTGGTAAGTCTGAAAGTCTGAAACAATGGACTGTCACCCAATAATTGTGTGTGGAGATTTTAATGAGAACCAGTTACAGAGTGGAAGAAAATAGATTCTGGAGCATTTCCAGTCTAGAGGGTATTCACAGCTGATCACTTCTGCCACTACAGACAAGAACATCCTACTTGACCTCATTTTTATTTCTCAGCCACAGCAAAGTCTCCATTCAGGTGTCCTGAGAACATATTACGGTTACCCTGTATTTTG